TTTTTTTTTTTTTTTTGTAAAACTTATATACATATTTTTCTTTTATTTATATATTTTGAGTACAACTTTACCATGTTTAATCCTATTAATTATATGTTCTCTCATATTATAAGATAATTATCAATCAAATTTTTAAGTTTTATTTATCACATATCAACACATGTTTATTGTTTATTAGTAGAAGTGATCGACACATTACAAAAGAAGTGATGGACACGTCACAACATAAGTGTTGGACACTTATCCAAAATTAAAATTGTATAATTTAATTATGAACACGGATAAAAGAGTATCAAATATATGTCCAACAAGTGTCGGTGTCCGACAAGTGTCTGACACAGATACGTCATCTTCTTGAGAGTGTTTGTACTTCATAAAACACGAATACGGATACGAATAAGGGATATGCGTACGATACGACATTAATACAGCAATATGATATAATCTAAAGAAGTAGAATACGAATACAATCAGGATGCGTCTATAAGAAAATATATTTAGTATTTTTACTATTATCTAGCGACTTAATAACTATATATTTTGGTAATTCTTTAACATAATAAGAAAAATTATCAAATTTTTTGTTTAGTTTCAAAAAAGTATATATCATATCATCATGTATATTCACAAAGTGAAATACCTAATTAAATGAATCAAAACTAAGAATTACTTGGTTTATTTAGAAGTATATATTGTTAGAATTATAACGTAATAGATTTGTTTTATACTATTTTGACATGTAATAGTAAATAATACTGAAAAAATACTCACGTGTCTCTAAAATAATATGAATTTTTGTTGATGTGTTATTGTATGACATGTGAATTCGAAAGGAGATGTTAAAGATTAAATTCAAAAATTATATATGTTACTCGAATACAAAAGTATTCACGAAGTATCCAAATATTGTATTACAATTGGGTATGTAGAAAGTAAATCTGATACGTATCCTCGAGTATCCGATGAATATTGTATACGTTACGAATACACTAACCTCAATAATTTGTGTTTCATAGGTGGACAATAATCTGATACAATTGGAAGTTTTTTAAATCACCAGACAAAGAAGCCTATTTAACCAGCAAGTCACAAACAGTTTACTTGGTTTGACGGCTTGTAAGTTTGAAATGCTTAAAAAAAATTATCATGTCCTTCCCCACACCCCTAGTCCCTCAAAAAAAACGTGCATGCGTGTGCATCCCCCAGAACAAGCAAACTGGTGCAGCAGCAGCAGCACAAAAGGAATTAAAGGCTAATTATGTATCAACCCACAAATTTCCTAAAACGAATTCCCCCCCTAATTGGTTTTTACTGCATACTGCAATTTGTTTCCCCTATTTTCAGCTGGTCTGCCTAAACACAAGTTCGAATTGGAATCAACAACGTGCAATAATTGCCTTATAAGATAATCACAAAGATACATTAAAGTTCAAGTATTAAACACATCTATAAAGACCCCAAAGATCCAATAAAAAAACACAATCACATCAAACCGTAGCATCCCAAACTCCAAAATTACTTCATTTACAAATCAGGATTAAATTCAAAAACAAATCAAATTCATTCGAGAAAGACAATTTCAATATACCTATTAACAACTAACTTGGGTGACAGAGATTTCAATTGGAAGTCAAAAAGAGTCTAAATAAGTACCTGCCCTAACTCCAGACGCCCCGGCTTTCTTTAAACCCTTTTTCTTAACAATGAAGCTAGCACCAATGAAGACGCTTGAAGACAACGCCAAAACCAAACCCTTGATGTTGTCAGAGGACATTCCCTTGTAAGAATCTCTCCAACTGTGAGTCACCTCCGACGCCATCACTGATAAAACAAAAACCCTAGTCTCACAATTTCATTTCTCTATGAACCACCGTAACAGTAACACCACTACTCGATTTCAAGCAAGAAAATTGATCTTGTATATAGATACAAACATCTATATCAATGTGTTTGTGTATTTACAGAGTGTTTTCCATGCCTTAGATAAGGTTTTGAGGATCCGTCATCGCTTCAAGCAAGAGAGAGAGAGAGGCAGGAACAGCTGGACTGTTCTTGCATGGATCGGAGGAGAGAGACAGAGAAGCACTAACAGTAGATTTGTACTTGGTAGTCTTGCCAAAAGAAGACTCGGTTTGATGAACGGTAAGCTCCAACTCCACTACAATTATTTTCTTTATTATTACCATAAATGGTACATTTATTTACCTGTCGAAAAATAATTTTTTATATCGAATATTTATTTTTTATATTCAATAAGAATATGTTTTTTTTTTTTAAATGTTTTATTATTCTTTCAATCAATAGTTACAATTTATTCGAACTAAAATCAACAGTTGAAAATCAGGCAAGTTACTTCTATTTTCTTTATCTTACTAATAATAAGAAAGAGATACGGAAGAGCGAACTTAAAATTTATATATAAGAAAGCATAAGAGCTCCTAAAAAAAGTATCCAAATCAAATGTGAACCATTTTTCATGTCTTACATTTTGTTTTAGTCTTTTCTTTGATTTTAAATAAAAAAATTAGCGATAAAAATGATTGGGGGTGTGAGATACACGAATGGATGAGCTCCTACGATAAGAATACATTCGATCGATGAGTCCAACATCCTTTCCAAATGTGAAAATTTTTGATTGGAATGAGCAACACATTTGCTAAATCTAACCCTAATATAAGTAAGTTAAGGGGCTTTGATTCCAAGCTTCAACTCAATCTTGTGGTAAGTCCCCCTCCTAGGGGGCACTTGAAGAACTTGTGGGGCATGATATCCTAGACCATTGTAGGCCAGTAATACCTCATTTGTTTGAGCTTCACTTGCATCTTTGGCCTAGACTGGTGGGCACCACACACCCCTGAATGTACAACGTACATGACTTGCTTTGCTTCATCACTAGATAAACATCTCAGCCACACCCAAAATTCTGTAAGTAGGTTTTTTTTATCTAAGTTTTAAAATGATAGATTTTTTATTTGCTAATGAATTGGATGTGTTTTGCCAGATATGGCTAGGAATACAAAAACTCGAGAAAAATGCTTATCTAAAATGCACAAAAATGCCCGATAGAGAAGAAAATGTGCATTTATTGGTATAGTGGATTGGAGACAATAAATATCGAGTAACTGACAAAAGAGAACTGTACCGAATGATAAATACGAAGTGAATACGTTAAAAAAGATGGCCAAAAGTTATATCGTGACATGAATGATTTTAAGCACGTGTCATCGATATGGTAGCATTATCTTTCGACACCAAAAATAAATTTTCTTCTCAATTAGATCAAATTATGATTTAATTAGTTAAAACTGATCTAAAAAAATTGGGGTTGATATGACTTTTTAAAAATAAAGAAAGATTTCGAGTGTTTTATTTGTTTTGTTTTTGTTTATGGTGAAATGCTTTCTTAATTCTCAATATTTTTAAACTAGCAATGACCATATGTCTGAAGTGTGAAACCCGAACATATATACATAATATGTAAATAAAAAAAATTAGGAAAATATTTGTCTAAGGCATGGTTTAATATGTATGTAATTATTAAAAAAATTAAAAATTAAATTAATTTTTGATTTAAGGTATTTACGAAAATGTCATTGTATGACATTTCCTTCCAAGTAGTTGTCTGGTTGTTAAAGGGGGCCTCTCACCATTCTGCAACCATCCAAAGTGTTGAGAGGATGCTAAAATATTCAGCCAAGGTTGTGGAGCAAATAGGCATCATTTGTAGAGAGAGAAATTGAGGAGAGAAGTTAAAGAAAGAGAAAATGTGAAGATCAAATATTTGTAGGAAGGAATTCAAGCATGAAGGGGTAAACTTCTAGCCTAATTAGGGTGCTAGGATTTCATTTATGATGCTTCAAACCCTGTTTTGGTCATTGTTTGAGCAAGAATTTTTGTTTTGAAGTTTTAGTTGGTATAGAAATAGGTTTGAGTTTTCGTTTGGTTTAAGCTTAAAGTGAGGTTTGGAAAAGGTTTATGGGTGTTTAATATGAATTTTAGTAGTGGTTTGAAGGGTGACTGTGGTCGGTGGTGGTGATGGTGAGAGTTTGAGTTTTTTGAAAATTAAAGGTAATTCTTGAGTTTTTAAAACGTAACGTGTATCGGGGTAGACTAAAACCAACCCTAGGAATTCATTGGTGACCTTAGACATGGATTTTGAGTTCATTTGGTGGAAGAAAAAGGCAGTTGCAGGTCTGACCACGAAGTGTAAAACCTTATTTTTTACAAACTTTAGTTCAATTTTTGGATAGATTAGAGGTTGATTTGAAGGATCTCACATATGGGGATCTAAAGAGGGTCATGTGGTGAGTGATTATGATCTAAAAACAGGTCTAAAGGTATTCTGTGGATTATGTTATTGGGGTGAAAAGAGGAGGTCTTGAACCAAAACTTTGGCATCTAGAGTTTGTTGGAGGTAGATAAGGCTGTTAATGGACCGGGCCGGACTTGGGTAGTGTAGGCTCAAGCCTTTAGTCATACGAGTTATCGGGTGGGTCGGGCTGGGCTGGGCTTCGGTTAGGGGTAAACTACCCATAGCCCAACCTATCACCTATTGGGCGGGCTTTGCGAGTGGACTTGACTAGGCAAGCTTCTTGGGCCTAGTTAGGCGGGCCTGTTTTGGGCATGGTTGGGTGGACTTGTTGGGCCCTATTAAAAAAATAGACAACTTTATTTAATTTTTTGTAAATTATATTTTTGAATTAAAAGTATAGTCAAAATCAAAATGGACAAAAATTAAATAATGAATAATTTTATTTATGAATAGAAGAGAAATTGCATCACAATAGAATGAGTACATCCCAATTAGGTTGACACTATCATTTGTACAATTCTACCCATTAAAGGCTTTTATATATGAAAGTGTGTATATTTAATACATGAAAAAAATACATTATTCATAATATCTAAATTTTTAAAACTTCAAATTCTAGCATTAAGGAATTTATTTTCATATTTTGATCTCTCACTTCAGCGGCATATCAATCTTGAAGACACATGAGGGCTTCCACTGTCTTTCCATCCAAGCAACTCCTATGTTCATCAATGACACGTCCACCTGTACTAAAAGCAGATTTGGATACTATATTCGACATAGGAACTGTTAATATATTATGAGCCAGGGTAGAAAGAATTGGAAGCCTACTTTCATATCCTTTTCACTAGGCCAAAATATCAAAATTAAGATTTTCAACACCTAACAATGGAACATTATAATATTGCTAAAGTTCAGTTAACCCTCTAGATGTTAATTTACCTCTTCTGATCAAAATTGAAGCTAGCATATATGTTCTACTTTTACCTTTACTAGAACTACCAACAATATCACCAGAAGCTGAGGGGGATTAAGTGTACCACCATTCTCAAATGTTACACTATATTCATTAAAAAAAAAATTAAAATAATATTTTATTTTATTCATGTGGTTCATGTGCTCATCATTTAAGTTACCATATAGAGACATAAAAACACTTGTAAGATTAAATTCTTTAAATTAAGAGTCAATTAACATATCAAAACTAATACGTATAGGAAGTTGTGAGAAATATTTATTAAATTTAGATTGCATATTATGTAAAATAGTAGAAAATTAAGGTTCAGTACTATATTGTTAAAAAAAATCACTGATACTAACTATATGAAGATAGACGAGTGTAATAGTTGGATAATAATTATCAAATAAAGTCATAGTTGCCTCATAAAAAACTTTTAAAAACTCTTTTATTTTATCAATGACATCTCATTCCTCTTCGATGGGACGCGATAATGAACTAGTGGTATCTATACTGATATAGTCATTTAAGACAGCTTTATATTTAACTGTCATATCTAGCATTTTATAGGTGCAGTTCCACCTATGTTGTACATTATATGATTTTTTTTGTATTTTAAATTATTCTTTTTACACATAATTCTAAATGTCTTAAGTCTATTTTTAGAACCTATTATATGATAAATAATATGTCTAATTTTATTAATTACAAATCTAAATCATGGAGACCACTTTGTCTATGAAATTTATGATATGACACATGCATCTCATATGAAAAAGTACTTTCATATGGTAAATTTAAATAATATTTTAAATGACTTACATCCCCACTATTATTTGTCGCATTATCTAAAGTAATAGTAAAAATCTTGTCTTGAATACGACAAATTTGTAATTGATTATAAATAATTTCAAAAATAACTTGTGAACTATGATTATCTTCAATCATTGTTAAAGTAATAATTCTTTTTTGCACAATTCAATCATCGTCAATAAAATGAACGGTTATACACAAATATCCTAATTATTGGCAAGAAGTCCAAATATCAAAAGTCAAACAAATTTTACTTTTAAGATTATCAAATTAAATAATTAAATTATTTTTTTCTTGTACATAATATTTAATAACATCTCTTTGACATATTTGACGAGAAAACTTTTGGAAAGGAGGATTAAAACCACTCTGTAACATTTTTTCACATTCAACATCATCTACAAGAACAAATGAAAGATTTCTTATAATAATCTATCTAACAATTGCTTTTCTAGTAGAGTCAGATTCGTAACTAAAAGTGCTTAGTGTACCGGTACTAACTGATTGTAATAACATTATTTGTCTAATATCAGTTTGACCTTTTAATAAACATGTTTTTAGGTGTCTAGTTAAATGACTAGTTACATTTTTAGAGCCTCCAACAAATTTTTTTTTACAATAATTACATATGATTTTTTCTGATGTAATGAACCCATTAGAATCCTTAATTTTGATTTTCTCAAAGTGATTCCAAGCCTTGGACTTTTGTCTTTTATTAGATGGTACAACCCCAATA